ACTGATGAAAGAAATTAAAGATGATACAAACAGATGGAGAGATATACCATGTTCCTGGATTGGAAGAATCAACATTGTGAAAATGACTATACTACCCAAAGCAATCTACAGATTCAATGCAATCCCTAATCAAACTACCAATGGCACTTTTCACAGAACTAGAATAAAAAATTTCACAATTTGTATGGAAACACAAAAGACACCAAATAGCCAAAGCAATCTTGAGAACGAAAAACGCAGCTGGAGGAATCAGGCGCCCTGGCTTCAGACTATACTACAAAGCTACAATAATCAAGGCAGTATGGTACTGGTACAAAAACAGAAATATAGATCAATGGAACAGGATAGAAAACCCAGAGATAAACCCATGCACATATGGTCACCTTATCTTTGATAAAGGAGGCAAGAATATACAATGGAGAAAAGACAGCCTCTTCAATAAGTGGTGCTGGGAAAGCTGGACAGCTACATGTAAAAGAATGAAATTAGAACACTCCCTAACACCATACACAAAAATAAACTCCAGATGGATTAAAGACCTAAATGTAAGGCCAGACACTATAAAACTCTTAGTGGAAAACATAGGCAGAACACTCTATCACATAAATCACAGCAAGATCCTTTTCAACCCACCTCCTAGAGAAATGGAAATAAAAACAAAAATAAACAAATGGGACCTAATGAAACTTAAAAGCTTTTGCAGAGCAAAGGAAACCATAAACAAGACGAAAAGACAACCCTCAGAATGGGAGAAAATATTTGCAAACAAAGCAATGACAAAGGATTAATCTCCAAAATATACAAGCAGCTCATGCAGCTCAATATCAAAAAAATAAAGAACTCAATCAAAAAATGGGCAGAAGACCTAAATAGACATTTCTCCAAAGAAGATATACAGATTGCCAACAAACACATGAAAAGATGCCCAACATCACTAATCATTAGAGAAATGCAAATCAGAACTACAATGAGGTATCAACTCACACAGGTCAGAATGGCATCATCAAAAAATCTACAAACAATAAATGGTGGAGACGGTGTGGAGAAAAGGGAACCCTCTTGCACTGTTGGTGGGAATGTAAATTGATACAGCCACTATGGAGAACAGTATGGAGGTTCCTTAAAAAACTAAAAATAAAACTACCATACAACCCAGCAATCCCACTACTGGGCATATACCCTGAGAAAACCATAATTCAAAAAGAGACATATACCACAATGTTCATTGCAGCATTATTTACAATAGCCAGGACATGGAACCAACCTAAATGTCCATCGACAGACAAATGGATAAAGAAGATGTGGTACATATATACAATGGAATATTACTCAGCCATAAAAGGGAACGAAATTGGGTCATTTGTAGAGACGTGGATGGATCTAGAGACTGTCATACAGAGTGAAGTAAGTCAGAAAGAGAAAAACAAATATCGTATATTAATGCATATATGTGGAACCTAGAAAAAATGGTACAGATGAACCAGTTTGCAGGGCAGAAATAGAGACACAGATGCAGAGAACAAACATATGGACACTAAGGGGGAAAGTGGTAAGGGTGGGGGGTGATGTGATGAATTGGGAGATTGGGATTGACATGTATACACTAATATGTATAAAATGGATAACGAATAAGAGCCTACTGTATAAAAAAATAAATTAAATAAAATTCAACAATTAAAAAAAAAAAGAGAGAGAGATGTACCACAATGTTCATTGCAGCACTGTTTACAAGACCCAGGACATGGAACCAACCTAAACGTCCATCAACAGATGAATGGATAAAGAAGATGTGGCACATGTATATAATGGAATATTACTCAGCCATAAAAAGAAACGAAATTGAGTTATTTGTAGTGAGGTGGATAGATCTAGCGTCTGTCATACAGAGTCAAGTAAGTCAGAAAGAGAAAAACAAATACCATATGCTAACACATATATATGGAATCTAAAATTTTTAAAAAATGGTTCTGAAGAACCTAAGGGCAGGACAGGAATAAAGATGCAGAAGTAGACTTGAGGACACGGGGAGGGGGAAGGGTAAGCTGGGACAAAGTGAGAGAGTGGCATTGACATATATACACTACCAAATGTAAAATAGATAGCTAGTGGGAAGCAGCCGCATAGCACAGGGAGATCATCTCCATGCTTTGTGACCACCTAGAGGGGTGGGATAGGGAGGGCGGGAGGGAGGCTCAAGAGGGAGGTGATATGGGGATATATTTATACGTATAGCTGATTCACTTTGTTATATAGCAGAAACTAACACAACATTGTAAAGTAATTATATTCCAATAAAGATGTTGAAAAGAAATGCTGATGCCAATAGACAGCTGGGTTATAAATTCATCTATAACATGTCATTATACTTCTTGATTTGGGTCCATTGCCCCTGCTAGACTATAACTTTCTCGGAAGTAGAACCCATATCACTTTTTCTCCACAGAGCCTAACTAAATGTCCAACACAAATTTTCAATAACTCTTTGTGGAATAAATGAATAAGTTAAAGAATGACTGAATGAACTATATCTTTCCCGAACAGATCATCCTTTTACATGCTAAAAACATCCAGAATAACAACAGAAGCTGGACTGCAAGTCCATGAAGTAGGTTCTACGTCTGCAAAGAACTTGAAGAGAGAGAACTAGGGCTGACAGATTACCCAAAGAGGTTGATAGCAGACATAAATAGTAAATGTAAAGAGGATAGTAGATAGCATAAGGCTTGAAGGACAAAGGGGTTTTGCACCTATGAGGATGAAAGCACAAGGGGAAACCAACTGAATGGCAATACTGCCTCCCAGTGGCCCTTGGGATAAAAGCCTCTATACCAGAGCACTTTCACAAAATAATAGCTTTCTCACTTTGAGTGGTTCTGGGCTATGAGCTGGGCCAGGCACCTCTTACTTTATCTCATTTAACCCTTACAACAATCCCTTGTAGACACATAGCTTGTAGATTAGGAGTGAATCACACAGACTCTGGAGTCAGGATGTCTGGCTCTCCTACTTACTAGGTTTGTGACCTGGGGCAAATTAATTCTCAGCATATGTCCCCATCTGTAAAACAGGGATAATATTAGTACCTATCACATACATCCTTGACAGCATAGCAAATGCTATATAAACGTTAGCTATTATTATGCCCTTTTTTCTGGTGAGGAAAACTTATGTTAAATAAATGAAGCATACAATAGGAACTCAATAAATAAACCTCCTTTGCTTTCCCGCCTTATGTCTTAGCTCCTTACAGTCTGCCCTCCTTAATGGTCCTGAAATTTAAATAGGGGACTCCCAAATAGCTCAAAGAAGTCAGTTCCTAAAGGGAGCAATAAGGAATCTCCAGTAAAGAAACTGAGAAACCTCCATTAAAAAGCCCAAGGCATGTGGTTCTGGAAAAGAGAACTCTACTGGCACTCTTGTTACTGTTATTAGAGTGAAGACCTTCCCAGCAATGAAATTCACTCTACTGAAAACAGGATGCATGGAGATTGTGAAAATCAACTAAGATTTGTGCAGGATGTCACATTTCTAGAAATATTCAAATAAATATGATCTGTCCAGAGCCTATTTTTCACAACTTTGCCCACAGAAGCTAAGGGACCATGATCACTTTCAAGATTGGGCTAATAATAACCTACTAGAGAGTCTATTCTCTCGTTGCTTTCCTACTATTATTGTAAAAATAAAATTCATGAAAATGATAGTTTTCATGTGACACAACACTGATGTGATTATCAGACTGCCCACCCCAGTCCACCTTTGAGATGAGATGTATCTTTACCTGGTCAGACTTATTGGCAGATCTGCACATCGATAGCAAACAGGCTCCTTTACATGGAGAGTAAAGCTCTCCATGCTTCTGCAAGCTTCCTCTGATTCAGATTTTAGTATTCCTGGGTGTTCTATTTGAGAGACTGAATATACAAACAAACAATGACCAGACCATATTTAAAAACAGAACTCTGACCCACAACCTGCCCGAAGCCTACCCAGGAAACCAGCCCCCTTATCTATAATAAACAGCCCAGGAAGCCAGCCTGCTTAAGTCAGACTTATAGGAAGTCAGACTGCGGTGTCTAGTGATAGTCCAGGAAGCCAAATAACCCATATAACAATCCGCTCAAAATAGCCAGGACTTGATTAACAACTGAGAGCTTCCCTAATTTTTGTCCCCACTTCCAACTTAGGACCAACCAGAGAAAGCCACATGTGCACCCCTAACCAATCACATAGGATGCCCCTCTCTTGAGTTAGCCCACCTACAACTTACCCATGAAAACAGCCTTGAATCAGGACATACCTGAAACCTTCCCTTTTTTCACTGTTAATCTTTTCCACTCCTCTGCCTGTCTATGAGTCTCTGCCAAAATACAAGTGACGGTGGCTGACTCCCTTTCTAAATATAGCAAGCTCTTGAATAAATAGCTTTTGCTTTTCTCATTTGCATTTCTCATTTTCTCAAATTTTTCTCATTTTCCACATATTGGACCTAGTAATTCTACAAAGAACTAATTTCCAAACCCTCTTTAAAAGATATTGGTTGGGTTTCCGTGGTGGCACAGTGGTTAAGAATACGCCTGCCAACGCAGCGGTCACAGGTTCGAGCCCTGGTCCGGGAAGATCCCACGTGCCGCGGAGCAACTAAGCCCGTGCGCCACAACTACTGAGCCTGTGCTCTACAGGCCGCGAGCCACAACTACTGAGCCCATGTACCATAACTACTGAAGCCTGCACGCCTAGAGCCCATGCTCCACAACAAGAGAAGCCACTGCAATGAGAAGCCCGCGCACCGCAACGAAGAGTAGCTCCCATTCCCGCAACTAGAGAAAGCTCATGCGCAGCAACGAAGACCCAACTCAGCCAAAGATAAATAAAAATTTTTTTAATCTTAAAAAAAAGAGATATTGGTTAACATTGTTTCTAAAACAGTCATAAAGTTAGCGGAGAACATCTCTTTTACTTCATCTTAATAACCTAAATCTATATGCTCCAAGGCTCACCTTTAGACAGAAGATATCCCTGGAATGGGCGCAGCCTCCTTCTGCCCACCTGAGCAGTGGAGTGTCGAAGCGGGCGGGTGGAGACCGCGGGAGTGCCTCCCTCGCTCAGGCCGACCTCCGAATGGGAACTACAATTCCCAGTGGCCCCTGCAGACCGCCGGCCGCGGCCCCGATGCGCCTGCGCAGTGGCGGGGGCTCCGGCTGTGTGGTTCCCGCCATTTCTCGTGGCCGGTCTCCCTGGGTTGAGTTCCGCGCTTCATGGAGGCGTTTGACCCCGCCGAGCTGCCCGAGCTGCTTAAGCTTTATTACCGGAGGCTCTTTCCCTACGCCCAGTACTATCGCTGGCTCAACTATGGCGGAGGTGATGGAGGCGGGGAGCGGGGTGGGAAGTGGGTTGGGAGGGGAACGTGAGGAGGTTTCAGGAGAGTACCTTGGAATGACAATATGAAGCGCCTCCTGTGCGCCAGGCGTTGTGCCGGGCACCGTCTTGCGTTATCTTGAGCCCTCCCCCTCACCTCTGAGGTGTAAATGGGCCGAGAGAGGTTGTAATGACCAGCCTACCGCTACGCATTGTAAGGCAGAGCCGCTGCTCCTATCACTCCTTGGTCAGACTCAAGTGGTCGGACTGACTTTGGGTTTGGTGTTTATCTGCAGCCAAGAGGGGGTTACCGGGTCATAGCATGAAGCTGCAGAGGCGTGATCAGCTCAGGGACAGAGGGGCATCTCCTAAAAGAGGAGAGGTACTTAACTCTTCCCAGGAATTTACTAGTGCCCACCGAGGAAAAAGAGGTGGTATTACATATTGAAAATATTTCTGCATCTTTTTCCTCATTTTTACTTTTCCCTGTTAGATGCGGGATGGTAAACCCCTTCAAATTAGGAACTAGTTCTTGTCTTTTTTTTTTTTTTTTAACATGTAGCACAGTGCACAGAGGACTCATTAAAAATATCTTCTCTGGGGTGTGCTCAGAGCAGGGGGTCTGAAGAAATGGCTCATGTGTTTACAACACACCCAACAGGAATTAGGGTTCATTGTGACAAGGGGCACAAAACTTGTGGCCTTCCTATGAACAGATACCCAACACGTATGCCCCCTTCACCTGCACGTGGCTGCTGGGCAGGACCAGTGGGACAGGGCTCAGTACTGGGAGGAAAGCTACAGTGTTCAGTGGGCGAGTTTGCCACCTGGAGCCTGTCCGGTCCACGTGTGGCTGTGCCATGAGTGGTGTTATAGGCATAAAGGCTTTGAACCCCTCTATTCAAGGAAAAAAGAAAAATATATTCCGTGTATATGCCATTCTGGAAAAGGCAAAACAATGGAGACAATAAAAAGATCAGTGGTTGCCAGGAGTTTGCGGGGGAGGGGAGATGAATACATAGACTACAGAAGTTTTTATGAGTGGTGAAAATACTTTGTATGACATTATAATGATTTTATGTCATCATACTATTGTCCAAACCCGTAGAATGTGCAACACTATTCACTTCGTAAAGCGAACTCTAAGATGAACTAGGGACTTTGGTGATTATGATGTGTCAGTGCAGTTCAGCCTTAATTTTTAAAAAAAAGTCTTAAAAAGAATTAACACTCAGGGTAGACGTTTTTGGCAAAACCTTTGTTTCACTTCTATATATGTATACACATTATATATGTGTTTGTTGGACTGTGATGTAAAATGTGCTTTTTAGAATAAAAAAGTTTGCAGGTTACTGTAGTTATACTGGCAAATAAAAGCACAAATTAAAAAGAAAAAAATATATATATTCTCATTGGTTAATGTTTTAATGCTCTGAGCTGGGTAAAGTACCAAATTAACTTTTAAAGTGTACATTTATTTTGCAGTGGTAAAGAATTACTTTCAACACCGTGAATTTTCCTTCACATTGAAAGATGATATTTACATTCGTTACCAATCCTTCAACAACCAGAGTGATCTGGAAAAGGAGGTGCAGAAAATGAATCCGTACAAGATTGATATAGGCGCGGTATATTCCCACAGAGTAAGAAATCGATTTTTTATGTAGTTTGTTGTTTTTTAAACCAAGAATGGATTGGTGCCCCTAGCATTTTGAGATAAATTTTTAGAGCTTATTTTAGTTGAAGAGCCACAAATTGTCCTTTGATGCTTTACATTACTGACTGGAAATAGTTTGGAAGTGAATTGGTTGTATTCTCACTAGAACAAAAAAAAGAGTATCTGGCTAAAAGACTAGGAAGTCAGCGTGGTTGAGCACAGAGGGCATTGGAGAGAATCATTCTTGATTTCTCTATTTCTCTCACACCTGTATCTGTTTCACTAGGAAATCTCTTTAGCTCTACCATAATAATATCTAAAATCCAACCACTGCTACTAGTGCTGCTACCATCATCATCACCATCTCTAATCTAAATTACTGTAAAAACTTTCTAACACTTTGCTCCTGTAGACTCTAGACTCTATTCTCAACACAGCAGCCAGAAGGATCCTTTTAAAACAAGATTGTCATGATTCCTCTGCTCAAAACCATTCTCCAGTGGCTCCTCATTTCACTCCAAGTAAGAGCCCCTCTCTCCTGCTCAAGTCACTCCTCACCTGCCACACTGACCCATGCTCAAGCAGTTTCCACTGCCTAGAACCCATTTCCCCAAATATCTTATTGGTTCATTCCCTCACCTCCTTTAAGTCCTTACTCAGTGAGGCGTCTGCAGCCTGCCATTCCTCCTACCTGCTCACCTCACTGATACATTCTAAGTGCCTAGAATACTGCTAGGCAGAGAGAGTACACAGTAATTATCTGCTGAATGAATAAACATACCAAAATTGTCCTTCTTCCTCTCCTTAAAAATACACACATGGTGGGGAAAATATACACATGAAATAATAGGTTTTGTATGGAGCTTTTTCATATGTTGTATAGCTTGTTTTTCATATCAATCCTCATTCTTTTTTTTTAATATAAATTTATTTTGTTTATATTATTTTTGGCTGCGTTGGGTCTTCGTTGCTGTGTGCGGGCTTTCTCTAGTTGCGGCGAGCGGGGGTTACTCTTCGTTGCAGTGCGTGGGCTTCTCATTGCAGTGTCCTCTCGTTGCGGAGCACGGGCTCTAGGTGCGCAGGCTTCAGTAGTTGTGGCCCTTGGGCTCAGTAGTTGTGGCTCACGGGCTCAGCCACTCCGCAACATGTGGGATCCTCCCGGACCAGGACTCGAACCCGCGTCCCCTGCATCGGCAGGCAGACTCCCAACCCCTGTGCCACCAGGGAAGCGCCCTCATTATTCTTTTTACAAAGGAGAACTTCGATAATTTGCCCTAGGTCACACAATTTCTAAATGAGGGAGATGGTACCTGAATCCAGGTTTTCTGACTCTAAATCCCAGGGGAAGGGGAGAAGAAGAGGTAAGATAAGGCAGGCAGGGAAAATGCTTTGGAACAGTTTACTCCTCTTCAGAGGTGGAGATTAAAACTGAAGTCTCGTACTTCCCTGGTGGCGCAGTGGTTGAGAGTCCGCCTGCGGATGCAGGGGACACAGGTTCGTGCCCCGGTCCAGGAAGATCCCACATGCTGCAGAGCGGCTGGGCCCATGAGCCATGGCCGCTGAGCCTGCGCGTCCAGAGCCTACGCTCCGCGGCGGGAGAGGCCACAGCAGTGAGAGGCCCGCGTATCGCCAAAAAAAACCAAAAAACAAAAAATTGAAGTCTCTGTAGAAGGGTCAAGTTGTCACTCTACTACTCCTCCCTAGCACAGAAGGGGGGGGGGGATAGTATCATTTTTTTAATTGGACCAAGACAGAGGCATGTGTACACCTTTTTTGTGTGTTTTGTTTGTGATTTTTATCAGTTATATATGCGCGTAGTTTACAGAATCAACTACTATTAATTAGGCTTTTTTTTTTTTAAGGTCTCCTACTTTTCCCCCTAGTTTTTCCTCCCCAGAGGCAAGCATTTTCTTTTTGCTGATTGTTAAGGTATTTGCCTCCTTGTCTCTAAATAACATGATTATATTTCTTCTGTTTTTCCATTTTAAGCATTATCTACTGAACTTCCATTCTGGCAGATGAGAGTTTAGGGTTTTTTTAGCCTCACCCCCTACCCTCACCACACAGAGAACCTTCCTATTACCACATGCTCTTAGTATGTTTGTTAAAAATTAGGATTAGATCACTAATTCAACCCCAAACTGCTAATTATATAAATCTCCCAATGTATTCAGATCCATCAAGTATTTTGTCGGTTTCATCCTGAAGAAATTTCTCCTGCAGCCTTCTTAACTCCTCCTCTCTAAGCCTGACGGGTAAATATGAACTTGTAATCACCCTGGTTTCCTTTCACCTCTCTCCTGTGATCCTTGTTGCCTAGATCCTATGTTCTCTTTTTGGTTTACTCCCTTGTTTTGGTGGAGCACATCCTCCAGGAGCTTCCTAAGAAAAGGTGCATGGAAGACAAAATATTTCATACCTTCTGTATCTGGAAAATGTCTTCATTCTATCTATATGCTTAACTAATGATTGAGTTTGTAAATCATTTTCCCTCAGAATTTTGAAGACATTGCTACATTATCTTTGAGCTTCCAATGTTGCTGTTAAGAAGACTAATGCCATTCTGATTCCTGTTCCATTGTGTTGGACCTGGAAACTCTTAGGATTTTCTTTTTTAAAAAAAAAATTTATTTCTTTAATGTTGTACCTATTTTATTTATTTTTGGCTGCATTGAGTCTTCGTTGCTGTGTGCGGGCTTTCTCTAGTTGCGGCAAGCGGGGTCTACTCTTCATTGCAGTGCGCGGGCTTCTCATTGAGGTGGCTTCTCTTGTTGCGGAGCACGGGCTCTAGGCACGTGGGCTTCAGTAGTTGTGGCGCACGGGCTTAGTTGCTCCACGGCATGTGGGATCTTCCCTCACTAGGGCTCGAATACGTGTCCCCTGCATTGGCAGGTGGATTCTTAACCACTGCGCCACCAGGGAAGCCCCGCTCTTAGGATTTTCTACCTATCCCCTCTGTCCCTAATGGTGTACATCTTTTTTCATCTATTGTGCTAGATACCTGATGGACACATATGATCATGAGCTCGT